TAGAAAAGACGTTGAAAGTTCTTTCAATAATTTTTTATTTTTTTTAAACAAAATATAATTTCAAGTAACCCTTGAAAAATAAAGAGCCTCAAGATGAGCATTAAAGCCATCATTGGCCAACACTCAGCCTATTAAAAAAAAATAATTTCCTTCCAATAAATAGCCTAATTTAATAATTTAAATCAATGAATCAAGTTTACTTATTGCATTTGAATAAAAAAAGAAATATTATTATAGTTCACTGATAAGCAATTATAATGATAAAATAAATTGAAATATTATAAAAGCAAACACCTGCTAAAATTTCTCTTTTAATTTTTATCTAAAATTATCTCAGTCTATTATATATAAAAATTTCTTATCAATCTTATCATTCTCATTAACAACAGCTGACAATTTAATTAATTTTTTTCGTGTTTTCTTTATTGCACAGATAAACAGGTGATAATTCAATTTACACATATTAAATTGCATTTAATAAAAATAAACAACAATTTAATATATCAATTGAATTTATCATGAAAAATCTTGCAATTATTTAATATTTAATTGAAATTAATAAATGAAAATAATTATTTGCCAAGTATTTTAATTGTAATAACTTTTTTTTACTGTCTAATTATCATTTTATTTAACAAATGTAAATTCCCAGTAATAAATATCGAAATTTCCACTGTTAATTACTTACAAAATATGACTATAACAATCGTTACTTTTTTATCATATCTTTCTTTATCATATCTCTCAAATAAATCATTTATTTCATTTTATTGATTTCGGATCAATCCTTATCTCATTGTAATTTTTTCTTTTTTTTTTGTTTCTTTTAATTTATAAATCCCTGCTATATCCATATCAAATGATTATATCATATCTGAAATCAACCTTTGGAAAAAGTCTAAGACTCCAAATGATTTATTATTGATACATTTAGCGCCATTATCATTATCAATTTATTTAATTAAGTAATTAAAATTAATAAACAAGAATTTTTTATTTATAAAATTTGTTATAACTGATGATTTTTCATTTGTTGCTTAGTTGACAAACATTTTGAAAGTTGCAGTTATGCAAACTTTTTTTGGTTTATTGATAGTATCGCTAACAATTAAATACATATTGCTATCCTTTCAAAAGGCTCATATCGATTAATTTGAATATTTATTTAATTTTTGATTTTTAGGCATATATTGTTGCGAATATTTGGATCGATACATTTTATGGCTTTCAAAAAGTAGATCATAAATCACTTTTACTAACATTTATGAATTTATGAAATCAATAAATTTAAAAATAATGAATTCAGTTAATTACCAATGATAAATTCTAGCTATCATTAAATCAAATATGATTTTAACATGTATTTTTAGCGGATGAACAATTTTCATTTATGGAATTCATAATATTGATGTACCAGTAATTAATAAAACAAATGATAATTAGCAGTTATTATAAAGCGGGTAAGGTTTTAGAATGTAATTTCAATGTGATTTCATAATTTCAACATATTATCAGAAGATAACATGTAATTTATTGTTTTATTAATTGTTGGTACATCAATATTATCTTATCATTTGGCAATTATTAGCGAAATTTTGATGCGTAAAGAATTACGTGATAAAATAAGCAATACGTGATAAAGGATAAGATACGTTAATTATCAATGCAAAACAGAAAGAAAGCAAATATTTCCTTGTATCTTCACTTCAAATTCTTCACTCACTACTCACATTTCTTTTTATTTTCTCACTTCCTTTTTTTTTGCATATTCAGAAACTTTTCCATCATCAAATAATTTTGAAACTTTTCCATACACAAAGTA